TTTTTTGCATTACATACGCCAACAAATTTCAATTCACACAATAAAATCTTATTGAAAGCGTACAATTAATCAACAGTATGAAAAGATTAGCCTTTTCTTACTAGTCTTCCACAGATTCACTTGGTTCCGCGTACGCAAACTCCGAGTTGTCAATAGAAGTAACGAACAGGTAACACCCTAATAGGGCGCCTGGGTCGATGTCTTGTTTTGGCATCTTTTGCCGGCGTATGCCTGGGGCGAACAACCAGTGGTCAGATCAGTCTGAATGTGTTCTAATAGGGGAATGCGGTAGGGAGGTAAAGGGCAACTACGTGCATCAAGTGCACTCTGAGCAGGCCTGGTTAAGCCGAATGTGTAGACGTAGTTTTTTACTTGCTGCAACTTTCTCAAACGGTGAACTAAAATCACTCTGGAAACCGTATTTGGGGGAGGGGCAAACGCACGGGGCGTGCGTGCGCGCACGGTTTTTCTTGGGTGGAGGGAGGCTTGTGTGTGTTCGACCATCGAATTTGATGACGGCTTGTAACCTCCCCAGTCAACGCACAGAATACCGCCCATATACGTAATCACGCCGCACTAGTACCAAAGGATAAAGGGGCCTATTCGCCTCTATCCTTTGTTCCGATCTAGGACCATTCAATCTTTTGGTACTAGAACGTTGCTATTAGGGCAGCCCCCGATGTCGCTCTTGGTTGAGATGTTATGAAACCAAGGATTTGTGAAAGATTTTCAATCGAAAACCCTTTCAATATTTCTTTTCGGTTCTATAGAGAGTGGGGCTTAATCTGGGTGACAAATTATTTGCTATGGGAAAAAATGTATCAGTACAATATGGTATAAAACATGTAGTGATAAATCTAGGTTCAATTTTTAGATTGCAGTATAATAACAAAATTTATACCAATGTCGCATCATTCGATCGCTTTTACGCGACAAACGGCAGAAAACAGGATAGACTGAATGACTTCATAGGCCCTAATGTAGATAGAAATCGATAAGCGGACCACTTATAAAGCAATTAGCAAAATGTTTTGCTGACAAAATGTTCTCGATTGCGTCTTAAAAGAAATGAGGGAATCGAAGTAAAATATAGTATTCTAAATCCTTTTGAAATGGAAACAAGTGTTGGTGACAGATAAATAAGTGTCAAGATGGATGTATAACGGGTGATTACCCAAACGCTCCTGGTCTGCAACGTCCGCTGTCAATCTCTCCCATAATTACCACACTGCCAGGGAATCATGCTTGAATGAGCCTCGCCTAGCAGCTCAACAGCCCCTGCACTTACAGTATACCAATCTCATTTAAACCTCAGTCTCGTATATGATGT